TGCCGGCGGGGGACCCATCGGCTCTGGCAGGGATTCGGCTCGGGATCTGGCAATTTGTCTTGCTTTGCCGGCGGGGGACCCATCGGCTCTGGCACTCTTGGCGGGGGATTCGGCTCATCGTCATGCCAGGCATCGTATTCGTCCTGGATGACGGGCGGGCATTCTGGCCGTTCTGCCCCAGCGATGTTGTTGCTGCTGGTAGCCAGGAGGAGGATGATCTGGTTGCACCGGCGTCCTTGGTAGTGGTTCCCACTCCTGCTGCCAAGGGTGATCAGGCAGAGGCCCAGCATTTCGCAGCGGTCTTGCTGGCACCTGCCACGGAGCAGGCCCGTCAGGAGGCGGAGGGCGAGGCCTCGCCTTTTGCTGAGGCGGTTGATGCAAAGGCGGGCGGGCCCCCCTGGGAGGAGTCCCTTCGGGATGAAGTACTGCTTTGCCTTTGCCTGGCACTCTGCCTTCTACTGGCACTCCTCCTTTCATCCCTTTGGCTTTTGCAGTCGCAGATCCAGGGGGATCCCAGGGAGGTGTCGACTCCAAACACTGACGTGGCGGAGGTTTCGGCGGCGCAAGTACCTGCGGCTGAAGTGTGTTCATTATTGCCCTTGTTGCCTCCTTTTTCATTTGCTGGCATTGTTGCCTCAAGTCCAGACCCATCTTGAACGACTGTTCCAGATCCTTGCACAACGTGTACAGACTGCCCACCATTTCCGCAGTTCTCCACTTATTCTGTCCATAGTCAGATTTAAATTTTTCGCCAGCGGCAAGCATCTTCTTCCAGACCTCTGACGCGTACGCGGACACGGTGGCGCTGTGGTTTGAGGGAATGGCCCACAAGCTCAGAAAGCAGTTGAGGTGACCCTTCATCTTTTTTGCGGGAACCTGCTGGACTGGTAGGCAACCGGAGCAGTCCACCAAGGCAAACGTCAACTTCTCCTCCCCCACTGGCACTCTGCCTTTGTGGTCCGGCACTCTGCCTCCCATGACAGTAATGTTATCCTCGTGGAGGTCCCCCAGAATACACCCTTCCTGCCTAAGGGTAATGATTTGTAGCCTCATGATATACTTGAACAGTTTGAAGAGGATCAGCATGGTCTCTTTCTCTGGGAACTTGATTGGGTCGGAAAACCTCTGGTTGAGGAAGGCACCCACAGTCGTCCCGTTGCCTTTGGCTTCTGTGACGAGCACCGATTTTCTCATCCGCGGTGCCACTACGCCCGGGGCATGGGTGACCAAGGTTTGCAAGCTGAAAGCGAGCGGGGCAGGAAACGCTTCCCACTCGGTTGTCAACATTCGAGATTTCAGAAAACGCCAGTCATATTGGTTTCCACACTCTGGTTCCCAATCTTGGAGTTTCCTGTGCAGCTTGATCACGAGGTGCACCTGATATGTCGGATGATCAAAGTCCAGATCAGCTTCAGGAATAGAATCCACCAGTTTCAGGGCATCTGCTTGGACTTCAAAGGCTCTCAGGACTTCGGCACTCTGCCTTTCAGACCGAGGAATCTTGAGCTCGCGCAGAAGCCTCAGAATGTCGATGACCCACGGCTGTGGGATCTTCCCAAGCATTGTGTCCCGATTGTGGCCATGACCGACGTATTTCCATTCACACAGGCACTGTTTGAATCCATGCCCGCCTCTCGCGCGGAATTGCAGGCGGACCTCACCGTGGCCTGTGACATAGCTTTCTAGAGGTTTTTTGACCGGCAAGGGAAAACTCCCACCCATCTGCAAGGATCCATCCAGCCCTTGTTCGTAAAACTCACCCATGATGTTGCCGGCTCGCACATTGGCCCAAAACAATTGACCAAGCGGACTCGTATGCACAGGCGCTGTCATCCTGCGGCACTCTGCCTTGTCCAGCCAGATAGCGGCACTCTGTTTTGTCCAGCCAGATTGCGGCACTCTGCCTTGTCCAGCCAGATGCAGGCACTCAGCCTTCTCAGTCCAGCTCAAGGCACTCTGCAATGAATGGCGAGGCGGCACTCTGCCTTACTTATTATGTCGAAATGATATACTACCTCTGACGTCAATGTGTTGTTAGATTATAGTTACTAATATTTGACACAATTTAAATTGAATCAACTATATTATTGTGCTCACATTGACATTAAATATCATGCATATGCCATCATTCAAGGACCACGACTCACTTCACTTTGAGCAACTCCATCGACAGAATAATCATGACATGACACTTTTATTGAAGCAGCAGCTACACGGAGTTTAACTTAATTGAGGGGCCAGACAGACTCAGCATGATCGGGAGCTTAGCACACGAATGAAACCTCATTCAAGGGCTGTGTTGATATTGAAATCTGGCATATGCCATGATTCAAGGACCACTGCAGCAACATTTGAAATTTGAGCAACCATCATAAGCCATAGGCAAAACAATCATGACATGACACTTCAGAAGCCCGAGAATGCTAAGTTGAATTTGGCAACGCAGAAGCAGCATGATCGGAAGCTAAGAACAGCACCGATGACCAGCAATCCTGGGGTCTGGAGACGCCAGCTGACGGCCAAACCTTGCATGGTCACTTTCATTCATACTCAGACTCTCTCAGCACAGTCGCAAACCCAACACATCCAACAGAACTCAGAAGTGCTCGGTCTTCAGAAGTCTCAGCACTCACAGTTTTGCTTCTGCAGCAAGCAATGCTCTTCTGGAGGCACTACTCTGACAGCGACGAGGCCTTCTCCAAAACACTCACAACTTTGATCATGACTTGTTGGTTTGCCTGCACCACAAACAAATAACCTGTTGCTGTGCGAAAGGCAGGCAGAAGTCCACATGAGCAGACATCGGCACTGAAAAACTTGAGAAGAGTCAGTCGACGAAGCCTGACCCACCTGGCACTCTGCCTTCCTGGCACTCTGCCTTCGTCACTGTCCTGGCCTGAAAATTAAATTGATATTGGAATTTGGGCCAACCCACTCACTGAATGGTCCAATGGTGGGCACTCTGCCTTTGGCACTCTGCCTTTTAAGGCACTCTGCCCTTTTTTCTCACGGACACGGCAAGTGGACGACTTCAATGAATTCTTCGCCGTCTTCCATGGGAGCAGGCCTTTCTTCGAAGTCGTTGTAATCCTCCTCATCTTCCACACGCTCTTCATTCCAGGCCTCCGGATCATCTTCGTCGTAACCGAATCTCACCAAGGTCGTGGTCCACAAGAATTGCGTACCGTCTTCGACTTCCCCGTCCCACAGCGTCAAATTCTCAACCCCCCGCGCCCAGCCCTCATGACAGGCATAGATCCATCTTCTGTCCATCATCACTTGCATGCCTGCACCGGTGAGTTCCAGCTTCAGGTAAGCTGGCGGTGCATGTTGATCGATCCTGAACTGAGATCATGTTGAAGTTGCTACTTGATTCTAGTCAGTATTAAGATCCGTAGATATAAGATAATAAATAAATGTAGCGTCGAAGCATTGCTTGAATCTGAGTGGCCATCTAATGCACTTCGGCCACCATTGGTAGCGTTCAAGGGCCAACTGGGCCGTGGGGCGAAAGGACCAGTGCGGATGACCTTTGTGAGTGTTATCCTGCGTGGCACCGGGTTGCGCCCAAGCGGCGATGCCGTTCGCTTTGAAGAATTGAAAGCGAACCTGCAGGGAGACATCCAGTCAAGCAGTAAGAAACACTCACAATCAACACATGCTATGATTATCATCAAATACACTGCCCACTGCCTGCCAAACGTCCTCCACGCACATGAAGTATGTGTGAAGGATCTGGTTGGGGTCTTGCATCGGAGTTTTGCCCTTCTTTCCCTTGCCCTTGCCAAGATCGCCCTTGCTCGCACTGGCACTCTGCCCTGGCCCTGGCTTTCCTCCTCCCTTCCCGATCACAGTTCTGTGTGAACCCGCTGAAACCTTAAGTTCAAGGACTTCGGTTGTTTTTGCTTCAACAAGAATACAAATTCAAAGTCTGAGCTGTTGGCAGCTGTTGGGGCCTTGGACAGCAACAAAATGCCTCTGTTGAGCTGCCCGAGTTGCATCATGAATATTTTGACATTGTATTTCTGCAAAATGCGGCTGTGTTCATTCAGTTTCGAATTTGGGAACTCGGGATGAGGTCCTGGATCTTGAAATCAAGAATCGCAACAGCGGTCTTGCTGCAGCCAGCGGCGTGTGCTTGAACTGTGCTTGCTTGTAGAACTCGATCCGCTGATCACCGTTAATGGGATTCTCCTTTGCATTTTCTGCCGTGCCGCTGTCTTGTAATTATGACTTGTGAGAGTTTGATCGCCGGGCATGCGGGTTTCAAATGTGGAGGCGTTTTGAATTGATTTGAGGATGATCGAATCGAGTCCAAGCTATACAATGCAAGTCTGAGTCTGAGACTCTGAGTCTCTGAGACTGGATTGAGTCTGACTCGGCCCGCAACTGGGCCCGACCGCCCTGGTCCCTGGTGCTTGTAATTGTTCGGGTCGTGAGTTGAGCGCCCTGGCCCTTGTGTTTGAAATGACCGCTGTATACTGGCAGTGGATGGCTTTCTGACAGCTGGCTGGCTGTTAGAGGACGGGCTGGCGTTAGAGTTTGGCATTCATTTTCTTTCGAACTCGTGCACACATGGGCAAATCGGCCAGCTCGGCAGCCTGCAGGCGCGAAGAGTATTACATGTTGTGATTCTGTGATTAGCACAGGCACAGGTGCTAACTATTTACTATGCCTTTTTGGTTGTTGATTCTATTGTATCCGTCTGATTTCAGAAGGGATTCCCGGATTCCCGTGTGGTTACAGTTTTGGAGATTTAAGGTCACATGCACACACGCACGCCATTTCAGTACGAGTCGAATTTATCTTTGCACACTGTGCATTTTTTGTCATCAAAGTCAATGCCGCGCCTGTTGCATGCGGCTCGTTGTCTCCCAAATAATGGCGTACCAAACCTTGGTTGCATGCTGGCGAAAACAGTTTCAACTACAGCAGCGGTCCAATAGTTTCAATGATTAGATAAGCTGATAGTCTGATAGGCTGCCGCGTGGCTGCTAGGCATGGCAATGGCAAGGGCTTTTCAGAGCTGCTTGGTGGCAGAGGGCTGTGAAGATCTGACGCGACGGATCGAAACTGACTTTAGAGAGGTTTGCTCGTTGAAGTACCAATGGCAGCCTCTGACAGAAGCAGCGAATGCAAGGATGTCAAGCATCTTTCAGGATCTCGCAAGGACGGAGGATGCTGACAGTGGCCCAGGTGATCCGAACCGTGGTCGGAGGCGTGGAGGGCGGCAGCGCCCAGTGAATCTTTCAGGATTGATGCCAGGAGTGCCCATGCGCTGTCTGGTGTGGGAGCTGTACACGTACTTTGACAGTCAGGATGGTCCAGAGAATCTGGGTCACCCCGCAGTTTTGGTCATGACGCATTCGCAGCAGCGACTCAGCATGTTGATCCGTCCGGTCAGCCTCCTGACTACTTTTGCCTGGAGCGCTCATGGAAGCTCTAGCCTGCTGGATGACGGCCTCATCGTGGATTTGAGGCACGGCGTGGGAGCCGGTCATTTAAAGTTGCGTCCTGAAGGTCTGTGAGCCTTGTCCTGTCCTGACCTGCGAGGCTTGGGAGGTTTCCGAGCTGGCACTCACTTCATGACCATGATGTTCCCAGGCGGTGTACGGGGTAGTGGTTAATGGGGGGTCATGGGGTGTGTCGCGGTCTGCGTCGGGACTTTAGACCAAAAGTTTGGGTGCATGACCTTGAGGCCACAGGTCACGATCAACAAGTTTTGCAAGATGCGCTTTGTGTGGGACAAAGTCTTTGCAACGATCAGGCCAGGACCACTGTTTGCATGGGTGGAATTTGGCATGTGGGTGTGGGTCTGTGGAGGCTGAGGTTGTCTGACTCATTGCTGCAAGTTGGTTTCAGGACATGCTATGATGGCATCTTCAATGAGATAGAGTTTGAAACTTTCAAGTTGCTTGGCCTACCAAAAGCCTGCTTGTCGACTTGTCGCCGAACTTGCTGCCCTTGCTACTTGCGTTCTGAGTTCAACGGCTGTATATGTTTCTATTTCTAGGTCCTAGAGGTCCTAGGTCGACAGAAAGCGCCAGCACCGGCACCGATTCTAAGTGGATGACTCAGTGGACTAATGCGGGCCACCCGGATTTCTGCATGTCCTTTGACAATTTGGCGTCATCATTGAATCATTGAATCGTTGGGGGCCAAGTGAGATGTGTGCGAGACCTGTGATGCCTGTGACTCTGATTTGAGTGACCTGGTGCTTATTTGACAGTTTCAGACACTTTAGTTTAGGCCTCATGTGGGCAGTGGTGGGGTTGAGTTGGTTTGACTTTGACGGTAGACAGTTAGTCAGGGGGTGTCCCTTCCGATTCCGATTTGAAAGCTCAGCGTTGAGGAGCTTAGGGCCCAAATGCCGAAATCCGAAAGGGTGCTGCAGACTGCCCCAAAAAGAGAGCATAAATAAATATGCGGACCTGGGACAATGGGATATGTCTGAAAGCTAAGGCTTGTGATGCATGGCCACCTCGTGCGCAAGGAGACGCAGATTCTGGACTTGACCCTGGATTCATTTCTTCAGAGGATCTCCGACCAGGACAAATTGTGTTTGAATCAGCTTTCTTGACTTCTTGTGCTATTGTTGGCTAGCTCAGCGAGAGTCATGTTTGGAGCTCTGTGCATGTACTTGACTTCTCTCGATCTTGTGTGTTGCCGATGTTATGAATTCGTGAGTTACGTGAGTTTGTGCATGGCTTGGGCACCCTCCCAGCTTCCCAGGCCCAGGCCCTCCGACTGACTCAGCCCGGCCCGACCCTGCAGTGACAGGAAGCGGAAGCTGATTATTCCGACGATTTTGGTGATGGCGACGGCGGCGACGATGAGCATCATGATCATGATCATGGCCGGCGGGCAAGGCCACGAAGCTCAAAGCTCAACTTGAGACAGTAGCCCTTGCTCTCGGAGTCTGGGACTTTGGGGGTTGTCGCGTTCGATTGTTGGCTAGGGCCACAGATGATGGGCTGACGGGTTTGTTACGTCCACCTAGTTGGCTCATGTTCACTGAGCAGCAGAGCAGCACCCCAGGCGTCGCATTGGTGCCTGACAGCTGACTGACTGGCGGATGGAGGACTGGAAGTTGTGCTGTGCGAGTGCAATCTACTAGAGTGAGTGTAGGGCTCCCAAATTGTGGATGGACCCCTGGACCCTGGGCATTGGGCCGTGGGCACTCAATATAATTTGTTTCACCTAGAGTCGTAGAGCCTAGAGTTTGAGAATCCGCTATCTGTTTCGGAGTTCGGAAGTTGAGAGGCGTTTAGATTTCAGATTATTGACGACAGCCGCTGAGCGCAAAACTCCACCCAAAACCTCAAAAGAGGTCCAGACCTGGCCAGAATACTCCCAGCCCCACAAAGCTTGAACCTACATCTACCCCGACCCTGTCTACCCTACTTTGTAGCAGAGACTACTTCTGAACGCAGGATCGCAATGTGGCATCGCCGCAATATGCCCGGCGGCGCAGCATACACTTTGGGAGACTTGGGTGCGTGGTGTGTTTTGCGCAAGAACATGCTGTCACTTAAGCTGCTTCAAACACAGTAACAGATATGTTGGCTCTGCTACTGCCAAGTTGCACCCTTCAAGTTCCTTCAGTGAAGTTTCACAATGCGTCCAGCTGATGAGTGCAAAGTGCAATTGCAAAGAAGTGAGAGAGCAGATTCATGTTTGGGGTCTTGAATCGGAATGCAAACCTAAAATCATTGCTGCACACCAAAGAGAAACAGGCTGTACGAACAGGTGGAACTTCGGAACTCGGTGGAACAAGGCCACACCAAAGGGAAACACAAGCTGAATACATACATGCCGTCCCTATTCACGCGTGACGAGTGTATCGCAAAGGCTCGAGGCCCTAGGCCCTCAAAATTTTGAGAAGGTAGTGAACTTCTTGTGTTCATGGTGAAATGTAGCAGCAGTAGCAGACAGATTAGTGCTGGAGCGAGGCAGGCGGAGCCTACAGAATCCCGTCCCCACCACCTCAGTGCAGGCTTTGAATTTGCAGAGCAGTGTGTCATAGCTTCAATAATAGGAAAGGGGTTGACGATGTACCCGCCCGGAGGCCTGGGCTTGGAGATTGACGCATCCTTTACGTCCAATCAAGCCTTCTGTAGGCTCAAAGCTACAATCGAAAACCCTCCACCCTCAACCTCAACAGGTCGTTGAACTTCTGAATGGTCGTAGTCGTTGCAGATTGCTCAGTCCGCAGCGCATGGCATGGAGTGTCATCAAGTCATCAATATCGGATCGGGCACCTCAATACCCAGAATGTCGTATCTTGATAAGAGGATACCAGTGACCAGTGATACCAGTTACCAGTGAGAACGTGACTGTTCAGAACTTTCGCAAAAAGGTGATACATGTTTGATTCAGTAGCAGCAGCATGAAGCTCATGGCACCCTTGATTTTCTTGTCCCTGCGCTTTGGGAGAATCAATGGTCAGCAGGATGGCAAGACCGTGAAGCTGAATGTGCCACAAACGCCTTTGACTGTACGCTTGGCCACTGATCACAAGTTGTGGCATTTGCTGAGGACGAATGCTAAGGATGAACAAGCTTCCCGAGAGACATGCATGGCTAGTTGCGCAGTGCTTGCACATGTGCAGGGGGGCCAAGAGTGTCAGGGTCAGCTGACACCGTGGGGCGAAGAAGAGCAGGTGCTGCATGAATACCACGGGTATGCAGCAGACTGTTATTCACTGCAGTGCACTGCCATGCTTGTTCTGGAGCCAGGGCAGCTGCAGCTTCATTGTGGTGCTCGCATGCGTACATGTAGTAAGGTTGCTTTGGAAGCAGTTCCCATGGAAACGCTTTGCAGCACAGCCAAGATGTCTGCTCATGACATCTGTGCGCACCTCAAAGTTGACACAGCGGAGTTGCAAGCATTCCTGGATGCTCCATTGTTTCTGCAGTTGCCGGCTTTCTTTGGCCAGTTGATGGTCAAGGGATGTTGGTCCAGCCTCATGATGAGAACATCCTGGGTGCCACATGCACGGCATGCATACCAGAGGCGAGGGCACGTAGCACTACTGCAGTCTTGCAACTTCCCAAGCGCGTCGTTCCTTGCCAAGAAACACTTAGGCGCGGCTGCACCCTGCAAGCCGAGTGTTCCTGCTCTTGAGTGGACGCATGAAAAGGCCCAGAGCTTGCTGCAGGACTTGATCCGATGGTCTTGTGGCATCCTGGCAAATACTGTAGAGGATGCTGCTCCTGCAGAGCGCTTTCTGTTGGAAACGCATGTAGCAGCCTTGCGGACTTATGTGAGCCAGGTTCAAACCCAGACTGGGATGCAGTGCACCGGCGCCGGTGCCCAAGCCACAGGCATCAGGGTCAGATACAATGCAGACCAAATAGTGAAGTCACTGTTAGCAGCAATGCGTCTGAGAAGGATGGGTGATCTCAGTGAGACCGTTTCGCTTGCGCTACAAAGTATTCCTGGTTGGTCTGGATTGCCCGGAGGCATCGAATTGAAGTTCCCCAAGAGATCATCCCTGTACCGGTATCAGTTGCAGGCTGATGCCATGTACTGCTGTTATTGGGCTGAGAAACTTTCTGAGTTTGAAGGTGTTGCGTATTTGTGGCTGGACTCCTCACCTCAGTGTGGGCAGGACTGGCTACTCAGCATAATGCGTCTCATCAATAATGCTGATCTCGAGACTTGCGCCGAGAAGGTGCAGGTGTTGGTGTCAGCCGGGGAAAGGTTCCAAGCCACAGCTCAGGCCAGACAGGAGGAGACCGGGACCGGGAATGAGGGTGAGGGTGCAGACGGTGCAGAGTTGCAAGACATGGCACGTCAGCGCTACGAAGCCCGACGACAGCTCAAATCCATGATCTGCTTGCACAGGCTGATTCCCACAGGCATTGGGAAGGGCAGAGGGAAACTTGAGCAAAAGGTCAAGTCGCTGGTGCGAAAACTCCTGGCAGAGACGCAGTCCCTCCCAGCGCTGCAGAAATTTCTCTGCCAGATCAGGGGTTTTTGCACGGATGCTGGAACCGAGCAAGGTGTTGCTGATATGGCAGGATGCACAGTGTCAGACATGCTGAAGGGTGTTCTTGCTGAAGAGTTAGAGTCGGAAGATGCGCAGCACGGGTCTCATCCTTCCCATCATGTTGTGCATGTGTTTGAGAATGCCCTTCTTTCGCCTGGCTCGCTTCACGTCCACAATAACATGATCTTGGAACTGGATACCAAGTTGGAGATGTGGGATTGGTGGTTAAGTGGCTTCAAAGCCATTGTGAAACTTTTCCACAGCAACCATGTCCGACAGAAGTTCATTGCCACATGCATACTCGACACAGATCATGCATGGCTCAGGGACCGCGCAGACCGGCAGATTCGAGAACCAGCTTCATGGAGATGGGGGTCTATTCAAGAATCTGTTTCCAAGGTTCTGAAAATGAAGTATGTGCTTCGAGTGGCTTGGAAGCCCCACCGGTATAGTGCAGGGGAGGGTCGTGTTGACAACAGCGACAACCCGGGCCAGAGGGAAAGGGAGGATCCACTTGATCTTGAGGCCATTACT